GCCTTTCAAATATCTCACTTCAAAAAGGGTTCTGGGACACCCACGCAGGTCACAGAGTAACATCCCTGCCAACACTGCATTTTCCAGTGATGCACTCCCAGTTAGCTGCTGCTGTGCTCCTAAAGGCAAATCTGCAGATGTAAAGTAGTAAAGGGAGAAAAGACAGCAGAAGCTGCAAGCAGATGACAGCACCAGTTCCATCAGAAGAGCAAAACAGCCCGGAGACTGACGGCCTCTTCGGAAACAAGTAAGCAAAGCTGGGAGGTACTGGACTGCAAGTACTAGATGGGATGGAGAAGATGCAGTTTGTTCTTGCCTGCTTTTCCCAGGAGATAAGGGGAAGGCTGCTGGGAAAATAATACTCGATGTTTCTAAAGCAACAGCATATTAGGGATACAGTCACAGTGTGAACAAATAACACCAAATTACTGGGGATAATTTCTACAGATGGCATCTCATTAAGGTGTGGGATCCTGTGTTCTGAGATGGTACTGAGACCACGAATCTAGTAGGAATCAATAGATTGAACCTTTAAATAGATAATGAGAATATACAGAGAGCTACACTAGACAAAATAAACATTTACAGGGATATAAACTCTCATGCTTCAAGGCATAAGCCACCAGATGATGAGGATTAAAGACAAGTGTCCACTTTGGTCAAGTTGCTCCAGGAGCTGCTGCATCCCTCCCCAGCAGCAGCCAGGTGAGGTCAGTGGGCAGGCAGTAGCTATTCCAGGACCCCATGGCTTCCTATGACAGATGCCACACAATGCTGTCCATCTCCTGTCTGTTCCCAACACATCCAGGAATATTCACCAATAGCCACCCATTTTACACCAGTCCCCCTTCCATGCCTGGTCTCCCAGACAGGAGGCGAGCTGGGCAGCTGGTCGCAGGCAGATGGAGGATCCTTCTCTGGGAGCCCATGCTGCAGGGCTGCAGTGACTAGAATTAATAAACTAACAGGAGAACCAGGCGGAAGCATACAAATTTCTGGTTCTGCAGCATGTTTTCAGCAATGCCATAATCAAAACATTGAGTCGTCGGATTATGGTGCATTTCAGGATGGAACGGACTTTGAGAAGTCTCTAGAGCCTGATCACAGTGGGACCAGCAATGAGGCTAGACCAGGATGCTCACGGCTTCAGCCAGCCTGTCCTTGAAAAACCCTCAAGGATGGAGACTGTACAGTCTCTCTGAGCAACTTCTTCCACCTCTGGACCCTCTTGACGGGGGAATAGTTGGAAGCTTTTCTTCACACCCAATTTGCATCTTGCTTGTTTCAACTTCATGGCTATTGTGTCTTTGTGCTAGCAGGCCCAAACCAGCACTATTCCCATTGTGAGTCTAAGTGTGCCAAAGAGGGGGGTAATCCTCGCTAGGATGCTGCTGGTTGTCTTCACCACCAGGTCACCCTGCTCAGCTCCCGATCTGCCCACATCCCCAGAGTCCCTCTGGCAGCCAGTTTTGTTGCAGTCCTCCCTTCCCTGGTGCAGGATTTTATATTTGCCCTGGTTGAATTCCATGCTCCTTCCAGCCTGCATAGGTGCCTCCATGTGACAGCCCTACCCTGGAGGACACTGACAGCATTTCTCAGTTTGGCATCATCTGAAAACCTGACAAGATGTGCTCCCCCCTTGTTGTGGATGAAGATGCTGACCAGGGCAGACCCCTGGCCATACCCTGCAGCATGGTGGCACTGTGGCATTAACCACCACCTTTAAGCTTGACCATCCAGACAGCTGTTTTCCCATCTACCTGCCCACGTGTCCACGCTGCAGCACTTCACTGTACTCTGTGCTGCCAGAGCACTGTGGTCTACTAGATCTGCACTGCCTCTCTGGTCACCTCTGGCCACCAAAAGGCAAGAGAAGCATGGTTGGGCCAGTGATGTGCAGAGGCACCACATTTATGGGAGCCTCAAGTGATGTAGCACTCAGATCGTAAAGCTCTGGGCTGAAACTGAAACCATGTGTTTGCTTGTTTGCTTCCTTTAGAGAAATTTATTCTCTGGGCCACCATAAACATGCACAAGCCACATAAAAAAGGAAAATCCCTGTCGATAATACAAGTCCCTCTTTTCATAGGGAAAGAAGGGAGGCAATCTGAGAGCACAGACCAGGTGTTTGTGCTGGGCATGGAGATGCAGTGGAGACATGCTCCTGTGTGCATCCTTGTCTCTGGAAGAGGCAGAGAAGGAGCCACGGATGCTGGTGGAAGAAGCCGGATGAACAGCAGGGAATCCGGAGGAGAAATAAGCACAAAGCAAGAAGCTTAATCCACCCAGCTCCCGCTTCCACCTTGGAAATGCCAGAGAACTAGATGGTCTCTCCAGCCCCACAGGCATGCCACAGACCCCAGCAGATGCAGGACAAACACCAGCAGTGTGTCAATGGCCAGGTTTGTTCAGAGCAGCACAAGTGATGGCAGCGGCAACATGCATACAACAAAACACCACCTATGTCTTAACATGTATACATTTCTCCAACATCTCTAAGCACTAAGACACACAGCAACCTAATTATGAGCAGAAATTAATGGCTAACAATTAAAAATCTTATCAAGGAAGCACATTTCTAGCAGAGGGTCCAAAAACTACAACAAAGCAGTGGCAGATCGTGAAATGAATCCCTGAGACTGGTACACCAAACATGCACCCTTGCTCAGGTGTAGAGATTTGTCCATTTTGGACCAAGCAGGGATGTGCCTACAGCACCAGAGAGGATCCATCATCTGCTTCATGGTCAGCCCCTTGGGTGCTGTGGTGCTTTCCCTAGGAAGGCTCTGAAACTGGTCCTGCAAAGGACAGGAGTCAAAGAAGGATTGAAAAGGCATTTTGGATGCTAGTTAGCAAATTCTCACTTACATGAGAAGGAGGACCTACAGGAATTGCAGCTGACCTTCACACTAGCTAGAGCAGAAAGTTGTTATTAAAGGAACCAGAGAGAGGAACAGTGCAGTTATTCAATATAATGGGTCACACAAGCCTATGTGTAGATAAAAATAAAATCTATTACCATGGAAAATGGGTTCAGATGGCTCTGTATCACCAAACCCTCACTGCACCTTCTCCAGCTGAGCAGCACCAAGCCCTTTTGCCATCCCTGGCAGCTGCTCCTTAAGGGTTGGTATCTCCCAAAAAATTAAGCAAGAGGGTCTAGGGCTCACAGCTGGGTTTTCAGTGAAAGGTGCTCTGAAAGAAGTCTATAGATTCCCACAAAGTTTGTAAATCTCCACCTTTGCCATGAATGACAGCATCCAATGCACAGAGGCTTTCAAATGCTCACTCTCAGCAGGAGGATGCTCCTGAAGCAAGGGGGACCTCAGGGCATCAGTGAAGAACCAGTCCAGGAGAGACTGGATGGGAGAAGGGGAGCAGCAGGGCAGAATGTGTGCTCCTCCAGCATGGGCACAACCAGCTGAGCTTGCGGTTGTGCTGAAGAGTTGATGCAAGTTCCTATCTTCACTAGACTTGAACAGCCAGCTGTGCCATTGCAGTCAGGCAGGCCTGGCTGAGGCTATAAGAAACATACCAATACAGTGTCTGTGTGTGTGTGTCCATGAGAAATGGCATGAAACAAAGACAAAACCTCGCATTCTTTTCAAAGAAGAATTCCTTTCTGGCGTTCACTTTTTATTCTTACTTACCACAAACTGCATCTGACACTTTCTCAGCAGCTCTTTCTGATGCTACTTCACGTGTAAAAACTGGTTTCTAAACAACCTATGATCTAACTTTCGCAGACAATTTCTAACTCTAATACAAACATAAAGGGCTGATTTTTTTCTTAACTCCTTATTGATCTGGTAGAACCCAAATTGCAGAACATAACCAAACCTGGTAACAAAGACTAATCCTGAAAGAGCCTGAACATCAAATCAGACACCAACTCCCACCTTCCTATTACAAGGATTTTTTAATAAATCACCACTTCCTGGAACCATGTGATTACAAGTAACGATCTGACCATAAGCTAGCTCGAATGACCTAAAGGGCTTGGAAAGCAACAGGGAAAAGAGAAAGAATCCCGAATTTATCACCACTTTTCAAATCATATGATCCTTAAGGCCAAATTAATGACTTTTAACATATATATTTGGGCTTTCCCTCATAGCCAGCAGTGTCTGTCCCATTCAGACCAGAAGTGGCACAGCTTGGCAGATATCCCAGCAGTTCTTTCAAGCTGAAATAAATGTGCTCTTTTCCAGCAGTATCTGACAGGCTCCAGCACTGGGGCAGGAGCAAGCCCTGTGCTCCCACCACTGGACACTGCCAGCACCCTGATGTCCTACCCTTTGTCGTGCACCGACACATCCAACAGTGGCCAATGGCTGCACCCGTGATGTTATGTGCCTGCAAACCCTGCTCTGCCCACCACTCCACTCCTACTGGCCACACAGGCAAGTGCTGGCCACACAGGCAAGTGCTCACCACAAGCTGGATCATGCTACACATCCTTTCTCACCCCACGGCTCCAAAGGGTTAGGAAATTACAGGCACAGAGTGTTCTGAGGATAACTCAGCATCCCCTGGGAGGCAGCCAGATGAGCACGGACTTGCGCAGAGAAATGTGGAGGTCAGGACAAGTCCAACCCCCAAGCACCAGCAACCTCAGCAGTAGGACAGCATGAAGGGACACAGTGTGTTCAGAGGAAACAGGCAGGTTACAGCAAAACCTGTGTCAAATGATAAGAACCTGGCATGGTCCAAACTGGAGCGATCCCCAGGCTTCACAGAAGGGAGGCTGGGGGCTCTTTCAGCCAGTGTAAATTATTTGCTTGAGCAGTCCACCAGCTGAATCACCTCCTGCATTGGGGTGCCTGGTCTCCCTTCACTCAGGACTGCTTCACACATCGCCTTCCCCTCCGCCCTGTGGCTTCTGCCTCATGCTCTCCTAAGCCCAGAGCATCCACAGAGTGCCACACTCTCCTTCTGAAATGCTTTATCCTCTCCTTTTATTTCCCACACTCCAATCCCCCTCCACTTTGAACACTCACCAGGCACCATTCCTGTCAGTGCTGGAGCAGAATAGCTGCCCTGTCCTGCAGGAGGGACATGTGGAGGGTATCCTGGGAGCGTTGTGCTTGCCAGCTCACGACCTGAGGAATCAAACCAACAAATCACCGCATGAGCATCGCAACGCGCAGACACAGTTTTACATCTCCCCAAATGCCCAAAACACAGACATGCATTTGTCATCACCACTCAGCAAAGGAACAGTGTGGGATTTCCAGCCTGGCAGGGAGGGCAGGCACAGTTTTGCTTTCTCTGTAAGCTGCCACAAAGCTCTGATGAAGTGAGAGATGGGAAAGGGAAGAGCAGAGCTCTGCAGGGAAAGGAATGTGCCTCCCTGAACTCTGGCTGTTCACCCCTATTCCCAAGTTCCTCTAAAGCTCAGATTTGTAAAGTCAGAAACAGCAAAATGTGAAATAACACTGATCTTAATGACACTTTCCCAAAAAGCTCCCCAGAAAATCACAGTGCACTGGCTGAAGGTTTGCAGAGATCTAAATACAATGCAGGACATAGGTTTTATCTCCTATTAAAGCCAGTCAAAAAAAACCCAAAAAACCAAAACCAAAACCAACCAAACAAGCAAAACAAAACAAAACAAAACAAAACAAAACAAATCAAAAAACCCCCCCAAAACCACAAACCCAACCAACAAAAAAACCCCACATCACCACCACAAAAAAAAAAAAAAGCGCCAAAACCCAAATACAAGACATCGAGACATGAAAACAGTTTAAAATATAGTTTGCTGTAGTGCCAGAAGGGTAAGATTCACAGACACAGCCTGATGTACTGCTCTTTACTTAGACTGCAGAAATATGTCTTTTTCACATACCCACAGGTCTTCAATGGAAATGGAACCCCACAGAAAGCAGGCAGTGAGGTGTCCCTCATCTCCCTCCTCCCCTGGACCCGGGGGCCAGGGTCCCCTTCCTGCTCCAGGCACAGCTCCCACATGTTGTTGTCTACAGAATGACGACGGAAAGTGCATCACAAAGTGATGGATTTCAGGGAAACACTGCTGTGGCCACAGGTGGTCTGCCAGGAGACTAAAGAGGTACTCCTGAAACCCCACCGGGGAGGATGATCACGGGGAGCCCACACATGGTCTGCTGGACTCCCACAGCATCCTTGAATAAGTTATCCAAGGATATGTTGCTTTCACAGAGCACTCAGGTGCTGTTAGCATCTACCCTGGGATGCCACAACTGGGTCTGCGGCTGGACAGAGATGCTGCTATCCTTCCCGGCAGCACCATAAACACTGTTCAAGACACCTCTTTGCTATGGAGATGTGCCCAATCCACCACCCCAGCACGGGGCAGCACCGACAGCACCTGGGCCATCCTGCCAAGTGGCAAGGAGTCCAGGAGGAGACCGCCCAGGCCCCAGCGAGCTCCAAGATGCTGTTGGCTCAAAACAGCTGATTAGCTGGGCAAAAATCACCATGAGCACAGGTTTCTTCATCAAAACATGGCGTGTTATAACAACAAGAAAAGTTAAGTGATTTTGCCAATTTTAGTGCCACTAGCAAGAAGAAATGCATGGATTCCCATGTTCAAATTGTTTTGTGTAGGAATTCTATTTTATAACAGGGGTTGGGTTTTTTCTTTAGAGAATTGGAGAGGTTGAAACTGAGTATTTTCCTATAAGGCAACGCAATTTTTTAAATTTTGGTTGGCAAAATTTCGTTTCCAACTGATCTAAAAATAAAAATTGAATTTTTTATTTTGTTTTGTTTTTGGATTATTTTTTTTTTTTCTGTTATCTTCAAAGAAATGAGACCTCATCTGATGAGACGAGAGAGAGAAATGTGGTTATTGCAAATTGCAGCTCACCACCCCCAGGTCATGGCCATGAAGGCTGCTTCCCTCATCACACCGTCAGACAAAGGGGTCCATGCCACAATGCTCTGTCAGCACCAGGCACGTAGGCATTGCCACAGTGATCTCTCAGCACATGCCCCACTTTCCTTGGCACTCTGCATCCACAAATCGGGATGTGTGCTGCTCCTCTCAGGACCTTCCTACATAATATTTATGGTGTATCCACACCCTGAAAGAATTTAAGGTTCCAAACAATTGATTAATTTGCTCTCCAGTTCTAGGGGGAAGCCAGATCCCTTACGGAAGGGCATCATGAATTCTAATTATTCAAGGCAGGCAGAAAATGGCTCTTTCAGATTAAAATGTTCTCCCCTTGTTACTGCCCTGCTTCCTTCTCTCCTGCACAAAATTTAACTCTGATTACATCATCTCTACAGCTTAGAGAAGGCAAAAGGATCTGCAATCTACTTAAATTTGGTTGCAGAAACGAAGTTCCCCACAGTGCTGGCAGGGAGCACTGGCCCTTGACTGTGAGCTGTCCCTAATGAAGAAGAGCATCTCATAGCCTGAACTCCACGACGGCATCCTGGAGCCCTCCATAGACCAAAGAATGGGTACTGCGGCTCTTCTCTTGCTCAGTGATGCAGTTTAACAGTATTTTTCACTTTCTCCAAAAGCCACTGTCACACCCAGCACAGTCAGGATCAAGGGAACTGACCAATGTAGCCACCACTGAAGACACCAAGAGAAGTAAGAACTCAGCTCCTCCATAAATGAAGCCAGTATCACTGACTGCCTGTTCTGGGAGTCTATTATGGTTTCCACCACATCTCATTTCCAAATTAAACATTCTGGTATCTGCTGAAAGATGTTTACAGCAGGGTCACTGCAGCCAGGACTCAAGCAGAGGCTGGGAGGCAACAAGGCTGGCAAGAGGTGACCAAGGACTCAAAGACAGGATAAGAAGCAGGCTCCACCCCAATGTATTCCCACCTTACTCATGTAGGCAAAGCAACCAAGAGGAAATTAACATCTACATTTTAGCACTGGGCCATGGAGACATAAAGACTGAGGTCCTTCAAGACACACATGCTTAAACACCTTTGAGGTAGCTTCTTTAAGGTTGTTTTAGATGCCTAAAGTTGGAGACGGGGCACAAGCAGCTGCAGGCAGAGCTGCCTTCCTCCTCTCCTTCCTTGACTCACTGGGCTGGTGTCACATAGGACAGAGCAGCTCAGCTGCAGCTCCAGCCCATGGAGAAGATGAACTGAAGCAGAACTGAGAAGGATTTTCTGCCAGCAACTTGTACCAACACTATGAAGCCACTGCCTAAAGATTCAGACACCCAAACACCTTGCTGAGTCTTGCCTGTGCAGGACTACCTGCACTCCACAACCCTTGCCACAGCATCATATGAATACAGGCAATTAACCCCTCTCTGAAAATCAAAAATGCAGAACAGAAGAGACCTCAGGTCAAGATGACTGGAGAAGACTCCATCCTGGAGATGAACTCCATCCAGACAAACTGTTTTCCCCCTCTGTCTCTCAGCCTTTCCATTTCTTCTGTGAAGAAAAAGGTTTACCACTGAACTGCTGATGGTCTGAGGGATTGAAAGCACTGCAGCATGGTAAGCAACAGAGCATTTCAAACACATTTCCCATCCAGGTGTCCTACAGGGACAGACTGGCCAAGCAGACCCTTAGACAAGCAGGTAGCAGTAACTGGTTATCAGCATTGCCTTGTGACGGTGTGGAGCTGCACAGGGTGGGATTTGCATGGGCTTAGGCATGGGAATGGGCATCAGCACTGCCACTTCCAGGGAGCTGCTGGGATCAGGCACTCCTCTGGGACCTCCCACTGCGTGGCCAACACAGGAGAGCATGCCAGGGTGCCCAAGCATGGAGGAGTTGCCTGAAAATAGGCACTAAGCTGAGGGAGCACATGCATCTGAAAATGCCTGGTACCATGCCAGCTAGACCCATTTGGAGAGAGGCTGGGGACCACACTGCTGGACAGCAAAAGCACCCCATGGGATAGGGAGCACCAGCACCCTGGCTGGCTTCGGGGGCAGCAGAGCAAATGCCTCTGTTACGGATGATCCTGTATACACACAACTGTCTTGAACTTGCTAAGAGGATGAAAAGTTGCATATCTTTTCCAGTCTTAGACATACTCCTGCCAGAATTTATCCCTCATTACTCCAAAACCCAGAATATGATGATGCCAAATAACAACAGCATCAACTGGTGCTGTGGGACCCGAGGGCACAGACACATGTCAAAGTGCTTTGCTCTGCACATGGAAGATAATGCAATAAAGGTCCATCCCTCCATTCACCAGAAGCTGGCAGTACTCTTGCACTGAGAGCAAATTACCATTTCTCAAGAAAAGTGCAAATAAGTAATGTTCTTCCATAAAAGAAATTATTTTGCAACCAGCAAAAAAAAGGAGAAGTTAGCAACACCCTGCTGAGCAAACATAGCAAGTAGCTCTCAGGCACAAGCAAATGTCTCTACTGCAGGACAAACTGCCTGAGGCTGACTGGGGCAAAGCAGCAGCAAGCAGCAGCAAAGGACTCTCCTGTCTCCAAACCATGGTGAAAAACACCTGAGGGAGTAGTTGAGGAGCATTCCTCAGTTCACCCACCTTTGGGAAAAAAAATACCAAAAGGCAGGAAAGAGCATTTCCAAGTGTGTCTTTGTATACTACTGTGTATTAAGCGTGAATCCAATTAACTTCAAATGTAACTATTAATGAAATTATCTCATTTTGCTATCAGCTCAGCTTTCATCCATGGCAGTAATTAACCACTGGGGGTTGTCACTCCCAGACACATGACACAAGGACTTCCCCAAGCTCAGGTGCTTCAAACCCTTGCAGAATTCATTACCCTGACAGTGTGAAAACCCTTCACTTTCAATACCACAGGGCACCAACATGTTTTTTTCACTTTCTCTAACAGATTGCCAGTAACAGTATGAAAGAAATGTACCCACTGGACAGGTAATTAATTATTGAAAAGGATACATTAGAAAATGCAGGGGTTCAGGTGGAAGGGAGGGGTCTTACATAGCCCCTTTTGCCACTGACTCAGAAACATCCTCTGCAATAGCAAGGCCAGTTTATTTTCCTCTCTGAGACATACTGTGGGTTGCACCAAGGGAAACCGAGCCTTCCCCTGCCGCTCCATGCTTACAGCAGATGTGAAATCAACTCAGGAGCATGGTCAATGATTAGGCAGTGCACTGGGTTAATGGG